ACCAGTGCTGAATAGAGTGGAATAACCACTTCCCTTGATCTGCTGGCAATGTTCCTGCTAATGCAGCCCAATATGCCGTTGGCCTTCTTGGCAACAAGGGCATATTGCTGACTCATATCCAGCTTCTCGTCCACTGTAATCCCCAGGTCCTTTTTGGCAGAACTGCTGCTTAGCCAGTCGGTCCCCAGCCTGTAGCAGTGCATGGGATTCTTCCGTCCTAAGTGCAGGACTCTGCACTTGTCCTTGTTGAACCTCATTGGATTTCTTTTAGCCCAATCCTCCAATTTGTCTCGGGCACTCTGGACCCTATCCCTACCCTCCAGCATATCTACCTCTCTCCACAGCTTAGTGTCATCCGCGAACTTGCTGATGGTGCAATCCATCCCATCATCCAGATCATTAATGAAGATGTTGAACAAAACCAGCCCCAGGACTGACCCCCAGGGCACTCTGCTTGATACCGGCTGCCAACTAGACATTGAGCCATTGATCACTACCCGTTGAGCCCACCAATCTAGCCAGCTTTCTATCCACCTTATAGTCCATTCATCCAATCCATACTTCTTTAACTTGCTGGCAACAATACTGTGGGAGACCGTTAGCAAAGCTTTGCTAAAGTTAAGGTGTATCGCGTCCACTGCTTTCCCCATATCCACAGAGCCAGTTATGTCATGATAGAAGGCAATCAGGTTGGTCAGGCATGACTTTCCCTTGGTGAATTCATGTTGACTGTTCCTGATCACCTTCCTCTCCTCCAAGTGCTTCAAAATGGATTCCTTGAGGACCTGCTCCATGATTTTTCCAGGGACTGAGGTGAGGCTGACTGGTCTGTAGTTCCCTGGGTTCTCCTTCTTCCCTTTTTTAAAGATGGGCACTATATTTGCCTTTTTCCAGTCATCTGGGACCTCCCCTGATTGCCACGAGTTTTCAAAGATAATGGCCAATGGCTCTGCAATCATATCAGCCAACACCCTCAGCACCCTCGTATGCATTGCATCCGGCCCCCTGGACTTGTGCGTGACCAGCTTTTTTAAATAGTCCTTAACCTGTTCTTTCACCACTGAGGGCTGCTCACCTCCTCCCCATATTCTGCTGCCCAGTGCAGCAGTCTGGGAACTGACGTTGTTTGTGAAGACCGAGTAGTTCTGAACTGAAGTCAGATACCCTTTTATTCCCTATATGTGACATCATGGAACTAACCCCCATATTTTCAGAGGTCTTGCTCTTTGATGGCTTCCTGATCTCTAGTGCATTCTTATAGGAACATTTTCCCAGCATCCCCTTGTTCTGGCTGGCCCTTTAATATGGCACAGCCAAACAACTGCAGTGCTAATCTGGCCATTTTGTAACTGGCAGCATCTGTCTTCTAAGCCATGAGTGCTTGTTACATTGCCCCCTGCTTATTGCCAAGAGATGGCACGTTCTCACACGATGAGACACCAGCAACCGAACTTAACCCTTCCCCACCACCACCACCTCTGAGCAGCCTGTGGGGGCACAATAGGCTCTAGAAGGGTCTACCTTACAGCTGTGGTAGCAAAGCTACTGCTAATATTGCATCATCATCAAAGCGCCAGCACTGAGACGGGCCTCACGCTTTGGTAGCAAGGCCAGTGCGGAGATCTTGGCTAATAGTCCCACCCATGCCCTTGCCAAGCTGCAGGTGCTGAACTCAACAAAGGTCCAGCCAAAGCCACCAGCAGGATGTGGAGGAGAGATGGGACAGGAGACACATGTGTCCTTCACTGCCATCATGGGTAGCACCTGACTGTTCATTTCAAGGGAGTGCCCCAAAAACAAGCCTCACTCACAGCAGACAGGGGCACAAGCTGCACAATTCGGGTCTAGGTTGGCGTGAAACCTCACAAACATCACAGGTGTTTCGATCCAAGCTTTTGGTTTGGGTCCTTCCTTCTGACCTCCAGGGAAGCATCCAGGTTGGACAATCAGAGCCTATCCCTGTCCCTGATTCTGCCACCTATGCAGAGGCTTATGAATGGCCAGAAAGCATGGCATCTACTGCTCACCGGCACTCCAGGTTTAACCTCTTCAGAAAAGGGGCAGAAGGGGCCCCAGTGGTTGTGTGTGTGATGGGGAGCTGGAAGGAGTGGGATTAGCCTAAAATGTCAGCCTAGAAAGGCCCATGCTCTTTCCCAGAACTCTAGGTCATCCTGTGCCTACTCCCCACACCCCTACCCTTCCCAACAGGCCATAGGATTCTATTTAGTGTATCAAAATCCCCCCGTCTTGCGCCATTCCATTGCATGGCTGTCACAGGAATCCCCGTAGCTGCAGGGCTCTGGGGAGAAAGAAGGGAAGTGGGTTGGTTGGGGGGTGTGTGTGTTTTCCTGCGATCTTTATTTAAATAACTCCTGGCAAGTTAGAACTATTTACTCTTAACTCAGCCTCCTGGCCAGCAGTAGGTCTGGTGTCTGTCTAACATGGCACTGAAAGAAAGTGAACCCCAGGCTGTGTGCTGTGTTCTTTCCACCGGGCAGCTGAACTGCTCCTGAACTCTGCCTGCTGCTGCCACGGTGGGCTGTCACCCCAGCTGAACGGTAAACCCATGTTGGTGTCTTATCAAGGCAACCTTATCCAACTGCCCTCCTCCCTCAGCACCCTGGCTTTGAGGACACATCCCAAGGAATCAGGGCCAAGTGATCTGACTGAGGGCTGTTGTCTTTCCTACATACAAGTGGAGCTGGTTAACATTTTGGAGCAGAATTTTTTTTTTAATGGAAAATGTTTTTTTGCCTCTGCCGCCCCACCCCCACACCCTACAAATTGGGGGAGGGATTCAAAAAAAAGTCCCATTAACAGTAATTGGTGGTTTTCAATTAGCTCTGAATACAAGGCTCTCCCATGCTTGTACATAAGAATGGCCATACTGGGTCAGACCAATGGGCCATCTAGCCCAGTACTCTGTCTTCGACAACGACCAGTACGAGAGCCCAACACAACAGGGCAATTTTGTAGAAATCCATTCTTGTGATCCCCTCGGAGCTTCTGGCAGTCAGTTAGGGTCACCTCAAGCGTGGGGCTGCGTTCCTGACCATCTTGATTAATAGCCATTGAACTTATCTTGCATGAAATTATCTAGTTCTTTTTTAAACCCTGTTATTCTTTTGTCCCTCACAACATCCCCTGGCAAAGAGTTCCATAAATTAATTAGGCATTGTGTGAAAAAGTACTTCCTCCTGTTTGTATTAAACATCTTGCCTAATACTTTCATCGGGTGACTCCTAGATTTTGTATTGTACGAAAGGGAAGATGACACTTCTCTGTTCACTTTTTCCATGCCATTCATGATTTTATAGACCTCTATCATGCCCCTCACCCCTTAGTCATCTCTTTTCTAAGCTGACCAGCACAAAGCTTTTTAGTCTGTCTGTCTATGGAAGCCATTCCAGATAATTATATTATGGAGCATTAGATGATGAGCCTTGAGAGCGAGAGGGTGGCTTGTTATTCTGTTATTCTCTAATGCAACTATCTGAATGCCCCACAGTGTCCTTCACACTAACATTCCCAGATGGCTGATAGGGCCATGGAGCTGATGGTGTGATGGGGAAGGGCAGAATCACCTTTCCAAACCCCCTCCATCTCAAATGTTACAAAGTGTATTTTGGAATCGCTGTTATCAGGACTTCATGGCTCCTGCAAAATCCAGCGCTCAATGCCCTTCAACGGACAACACCTATAATGCCTACCCTACCTGGAATGCACAGCACACCTTTCCATCCATGGCAGCCCCGCATCAACTGATACATAGGCAGTCACTCAGATACACCCGGAGTCTCCATTTTGACTGTTCTAACTTACTGCATGTCTCTCTACCAAAGCCACCATCAGAACCACGTTCTGAACACAATGCTACTATCTCTACCCACGACAGGAGGGGTGAGGGTGGAGGAACTCCACTTATACCAGCACGAAGAGGAACCCTGGCCAAGCAGAGATGAGAAATCCCACTCACAATTGAGATTTCCTGCAGAAAAACACCTTATTTTAGCTTACATTCATGTCCACTCATGCAGACATGTCAGTTGTTTTCATTTAATGTTGTGGCACTGAACCCTGGCACTCTCCTAAACCCAATCTATCACTGTTCATTTCCTTTTGCAGATGTTTACAGTCAACTGCACTGACTCAGCTTGTGGTTTTGGCTGCTAGAGTCAAGCCAGGAGATTTGGCTTGGCTTGACTTTTGAATTTCCTGGCTTGCCTAGGTCTATTATCAAGGTCAGGGGTCCCCAACGCGGTGCCCGCAGACGCCATGTGCGCCTGTCTACTGGCCACCGGAAAAGCAGCCGCCGAAATGCCACCAAGATTTGTCAGCGGCATTTCGGCGGTGATGCCTCTTGACGTTGCTGCTTCACGGTGGCTGCTTGTCCGGCGGCCACAGTCCTCGGCGGCTAGTCATCTGGCGCCCACCCCACGGAAAAGGTTGGGGACCACTGATCTAGGCCATTCACATTAATACATCACATAGAGCTGGCCAGTAGCCTTTTAATCCTGAATAGGCCCTTTACCAATTGTTAGCAAACCCCTTCTCTGTTTTGAGCACAAAGACAGTCCTTGAATGGGATTCCATGTCAAATGTTGTGATGCAAGTTAACGCGTTGCAAACATTGTTAGAAAATTCTCCTCTTGGTTACATCTGTGTAAATCTGGAGTGATCTAGTTGACATCATTAGAGTCACCCTGGATTCACACTGGTAAAACAGAGCATAATTTGGCCCAATAGTTGTTATTCAGGGAAGTAGTTACCTATTTTCTGGAGTGACGGATATATCACAGTAGTACCTACAGTCCCAGCTGAGATTGGGGCCCATTGTGCTAGGTACTGTACACACACATCATAGGTTCCTGCACTAAAAAACTTACAATATAAATTCTTGTTCATGCATTATTATGAAAGACTGTCCTCTGTACATCACAGTGACATCACAGCATCGCATGTGTTCTCCTGTGGCTGTATAGACACTCTGTGAGGAGCAAGATCACTAACAGTTGTTGTTGATTTAAGCCTTCAGAGACTGCAGAGTTTTCCATCAATTCTATACCTTATGCAGATTCTCTTTTGAGGGTTGTGTAATTCAGAATGGATGTGAAAAAAGAGACCAAGAAACACCACTGTGAGTATACACCTTGTTTCACTGCATTCAGTATGGGAAATGGTTTAGGGAGGCTACTGAGAGTACTTGACCAGTCATGTTGTCATGGAATTGACAGATGATGTTAACAAATCTATTGGGACAGGCAAACTTTTCTAGAATTTTTCAGAACCATTTCTACTCACAGTGTCGAACTTTTTTGGGGCGGGCACGGGAGCCAATGAAGACAGCCCACAGTTCCATGTTTTGTTAAGTGAATTTTTCCTGAATCTGTCTCACATCAAAAATCACATCTGTGGTGCTCCATCTGATCTAAATCTACACTGGATCTCCGTTAGAAAATTATCTGACACTGTTTCAGACAAGACGTTTGAACAAAATATAGGCGAGGATTTTACCACTGACCGGTTAGCAGGGAGCTACCCTGCTAGTTACCACAGTCAGATTTGTTACCTTTATTTTTGTATAGTGTAACTATGATTGCAACTTTGAAGCTCTGAGGAATTTTCTCAGCTTCTCAGATATCCTGGATAATTTCTTGCAGATAGTTGACAGTTTGGGGGCCTGTAATTTACAAACTTCAGCTGGTATGTTCTCTTTGCCTGGCTTCATTTGTTTAAAAGCATTTTGCACTTCCTGAGTGACAGATGGTTGGGCAATTTCTTCATTTATGGGGTACTGGGTTAGTTCCTGCAGCACCTGTGAGTTGACAGTAGAGAGATGGTTGAATAGCTCCGTAAAATGTTGCACTCATCTTATCCTTGGTTAAAGTAGGTCCATCTGAACTTTTCAGCAGAGCTAGCCCAGAATTTGGTTGGCCATAAATGGCTTTCAGGGAATCATACAACAAATTTGCAGTGTAACTATCAGTGTAACATTGTATTTTTTCTGCTTTCTTTTCCCACCAGTTATCCTGTAGAACACAAAGCTGTCTTTGAGCCTTGGCTTGCAGGTACTTGAATTTGTCTTTCTTTGATGTTGATCCTTTATCATTTTGCCAAGACATAAACACATCATTCTTTTCCTTGGGGATATTTTTGATTTCATCATCGTTTTCATCAAACCAATCCTGATGCAGTCTTTGATTTTTGCCTAGAGCTGCTTCAGAGGCTTGAAGAATGGCTGATTTGAAGAAATCCCACTTTTCCAGTGTGTTATTCGGTGAGGAGGCAATGCTATCCATTTTTCCTCCATGTTTTCCCTCAGTTTTTCTGGATGAAATGGGTGTCTCAGCTTTGTTATGTTCAATTTTGGTTTAATCTGTTCAGCATTGTTTTGCTTACCATGGACATTGAAAATGGCTCTGATCATCCTGTGGTAAATCCAACAGTTAGCCCCTCACATTGCTCTGGTGATTTTGACGTCCTTTATGTCTCTTGGCTGTATAATGATGTACTCAATCATATACCAGTGCTTTGACCTCAGATGCATCCAAGGGCTTTATATATGTCAGCTTGCCTGAAGGTTGTATTGGTAATAACAAACTCACAAGCAGCACACTTGCTGACCAGGGGGAGATCACTGCTGTTCATTTTCCAAATTGCATTGTTATCACACCACTCCAAACCTCGCTATCTTCTCCAATTCTGGTATTAGAGTCTCCCAGAAGTATGCATTTGTCTTCATTGGCTATAAATATGATTATGTTATCCCAACAGAAAAGAACTGTTCCTTTGCTTCTTCTGTACTGTTCATGATTGGAGCACAAGCACTGAGACAAGTGTCACAAAGCAGGATTTTCCGCTGGGAAGTTGTCAGGTCATTGGATGTTCATTTTGGCCCCCCTTTCGGTGATTTCAGGCAGCTGTTTCTAACGGTGTTATTGTGTATATGAGAGACTGACAGCGATGACTTCCCCACACAGATGGGCCAGCACCTCTGAGCCCTAAGCTACAGCTCCCCGGGTAAGACTATCATTACAGAGTGGACAATCAGGCCCCGAGGCCACCCCCAAGTTTCCTCTTTCCCTGTGCTTAGTACTTGGCACATGCGTGTCCCTCCAGTCTAGATTCCATAGGCCAAGAGTATAAACAGCTGACCGTCTCCGACTGTCCTTTAGTGCTCCCTCCACCATCCAGAGCAGTTGTCCAGCGATCCACACCCTGGTCTCCATTAGGCAGGCCAAATAAGTTATAGGTAGTTTAAGATCAGTGTGTAGATTTAAGTTAATAAATATCAATTTACTATTTGATTATTTTCCCCTGCTTTGAGACTTTTGTAATTTTAGGCCACCACAGGCCTTGCCCATAAGGCATAAGTATGATTACAAAAAGGGTTGAATGGGTGTTCCTCTTGCCCCATGATGTTCCCCATGGAAAATGCCCTCTAGGCCCTGAGGAACGGCACTTGGCTAAAGGCAGGGAAGCCTGTGAGGCCTCCTCCAAAAGGATCATAAGACTTGGCGCCAGAACCTGCTCCAGCAAGAGGCCCTGGTAGAGCATGCATCTGGGAGACCATCCCCCTAAAAGGCAGCGCCTGGCCAGACCAGTGTGTTGTCTAAGCCTTCCGGAATGCTGATGTCTGTTGCAAAATCCGAGACTGAAAGGGACACTGTCCCCTTGGTATGATGACCCTCATGCCTATAAGAAATGGTGGTAGCTGGTTCCACCAGCTAAGTTCTTTGGACAGAGCTGAAGAGAGCATCTTCAATGGTTCCAAGAGGCTGCACAGTGGGGATCCATCCAGACTCCCATGCATGCAGCCTGCTTCCCAGGATCCTTGGGTCCAGAGTAGGAAAAGGATCTAGGCCGGCTCAATAGTTTATCCACATTGGGGCATTCATTGGAACTGTCAGAACATGCTAGTAGGATCCAACATGCTCCAGAGACCAGTCGAAAAGGTGTTGGGGGTTTGGAACCTCCACTGGTGCTGAGTCCCAGTGATTCGCCCATAGGATCCATTGGGTTAGCTCCTGGGAAATTCTCTTACTTTTGGCCAACCTACTCTAAACCATTGTTCTCCAAGGACCAAGTGGCACTTTAGGTCCCAAGTTTCCATCAGATTTTCATCTCAATCCATCTATTTCACTGACTAGGTTTTTCTCAAAGTCCTATGGCCACACTGTGGCGGGTGAGCTGCACAATACCAGGCAGCGCTAAATAGTTCATGTGGAAACAGAACTGATCTGACCCTTCAGTTACCCTGGGAATCCAACCTCTACTGAGATTTGGAAAAGTTTGCACTTAGTTGGGTTTCCTTTTCTGCCTGCCTCTGAGCTCCTGGGTTTGGGTGAGGGCTGGAAATGGAATCTGAGACAGGCTCTTTCTTATGTTGGTAGAAATTCTCTTCTAGTGAGATTTCACCAGAAAGGCAGGGGGGGGGGAAGGGAGGGGTCTGATAGACTCAGATCTGAATCCCCCCTCCTACTCCCACAAGGTTTGGGATTTGTCAAGACGTACTTCCTGGGAGAGCTCCCGCCATTCCTGCTCTTGCATCCTTGCAACCTTCACCACTTCCCTGTCCACCCAGGCCTCTACAGCTCCCTTATGAACAGCTGATTGCATTACTCCTACGTTGTATCCCAGGCTCTCAGTTACGCCAGCCACCTCCATTGAAATCAATTGCACCAAAGCAACTGCGAGGAGACAGTGCAGACACACATAGACAAATAGCTATGTAAACAACTAACAAAAATCACCGGGGGGGCTTTGCAAGAGCATATTAAAAGCAAGAAATTTAAAACAACATGATTTTTATTACAAACAAATCTAAGATGTTCGTAGCTAGATATTTAATATACTTTAATCTAGTTTTGTGGTCTCTCGCTTTTTAATATCCACTTTCTCAAGCCTCGGGGGTAACCGAATAATAGAGTTGTTCACTTGTTTTACATACAGCAGCACTGAGGAAAGGCCAAGTCCCCAGCTGGTGTAAGCTAGCACTGACTTAAAAAGAACGTTATCAATGTTCATCAGCTGACGATCGGGCCGTTGAGGAATTGGGAGCTGCAGCATAAGTGGCTAGATGATGTTTGGATAGGTAGCCAGACAACCCCTCCCCAAACGGCATCATGGTGCTATAATCATCGCAAAGATGGGTATTTCTATCTGTTGAGCATCCAGAGCAGGGGTGGGCAAACTTTTTGGCCCGAGGGCCACATCTGGGTGGGGAAATTGCATGTAGGGCCATGAATGTTGGGCTGGGGCAGGGGGTTGGGGTGCGGGAGGGAGTGCGGGGTGTGGGAGGGGGTGCGGTGTGCAGGAAGGGGCTCAGGGCAAGGGCTTGGGGCAGAGGAGGGGTGCAGGGTGTACAAGGGGGCTCAGGGAAGGGGGTTGGGGTGCAGGGAGGGGTGCAGAGTGCAGGAGGGGGCTCAGGGCAGGGGGTTGGGGTGCAGGAGGGGTGCGGGGTGCGGCAGAGGGTTGGGGTGCAGCAGGAGGCTTGGGTGCAGGAGGCGTGTGGCAAGGGTACGGGAGGCTCAGAGCAGGGAGTTGGGGTGCAGGGTGCAGGATGGGTTCGGGATGCGGGCTCCGACCCGGCACTGCTTACCTGGAGCGACTCCAGGGTGGCAGCAGCGTGCACCAGAGCCAGGGCAGGCTCCCTGCCTGCCTGCCTGCCCTGGCCCCGTCCCAGCGCCGCTCCAGGAAGTGGCCGGCACCATGTCCCTGAAGCCCCTGGGGGAGGGGGCACAGAGGGCTCCGTGCGCTGCCTTTGCCTGTGGGTACCTCCCCATTCCTGGCCAATGAGAGTTTCGGGGGAGGTACCCACAGGCAAGGGCAGTGCGCTGAGCCCTCTGCTCTCTCTCCCCCAGGGGCTGCAGGGACGTGGTGCCATGGGGGGCAATCCCACAGGCCAGTTCCAAAGCCCTGATGGGCCGGATCCGGCCCGTGGTCCGTAGTTTGCCCACCCCTGATCCAGAGAGTCCAATGAAGAAAAAAGTCCCTATTGTGCTAGGTGCTGTAGAAGCAGCGAGAGAGGCCCTGCTACAAAGTTTACCATCTAGCTAGACAAAGGCAGTATTATTATCTCCAACTCCCAGAGGGGAAATTGAGGCCAAGAGAGACTAAGTGACTTGGCCAAGGTCCCACAGGGAGTTTGTGACAGTACAAAGACTTGACCTCCATGTCTCCTGAATTCCAGTGCAGTGTCTTAACCATGAGAACATCCTTCCTCTGACAAAGAGTGATGCTTGATCCCTTTGTGCCATCGTCTGAGCCCTTAGAAATGTGTAGTTGTGCCTTTATTCACAGATGTCTTGTGCTGGGCGCCATTGGATAGAGACCATAATGTTCTAACAGGCAAGAATATATTTTTATTAGCAGTACTGCACAGACCAGCTCTTGGATCTGAGCCCATCCGCATAGTTTTTTGCTTGTAAGGGAGTGCACGCGTAGGGCGGGGAGAGGAATGCAAAGAATGGATATTTTTTTAAACTTAGTTTGATTTCAAGGCAACAACTCATTCTTGGCTGACATCCAAGGTATTCTAATGATCTGGGAATGCCGATTCAGATTCCACAGGAATCCAACTAAAAGCGGTTAGCGGTTTGAGGATAAACCAGAGTAAAGCCAAGAGGGCGGTTGACACGGGGGGGGGACTGGGCCCGAAATTGCTCCAGGCTGCCTGGGCTTCATTAGCAGCCTTGATGGGGCCTGACAGCAGATCTCTGGCTCCTTATAGGGAAGAGGGAGAGGAAGTGGTGGCAGACAGGAGCTGCAGAGAAGTAGATGGCTCTTGCAGGAGACCCAGGCTGGGAGAAAGGCTGGGGTCTGGAAGCCGGAGCCAGAAGGCTGGGCTCCAGCTCGGAAGGGCTGGGAGTGGTGGCTGCATGAAGAACAGACTGTGACAGAAGATGAGCTCTGGGTGGGGTAGAAGATGCCAAAGCTGAGTGTGAACTTTTGCGTGGGGGCGATGGCCGTTCTTTGGGGACCTTGAGGATAGTTTTGAGCTGACTCTGTCGTTAAACAAGGCAGGGGTGGTGTTAGCCAGGAAAAAGATGGTTGGAGTTCTTAAGGAGTCCTGAAGAAGGGAGATGGAGGCAGGGGCCTGCAGAATTGCCCCTGGCCATGAGGCGGCACTCGGGAGGCAGCTGATCATGGTACACCAGTAATCTGTGTTTTCCAGTGCTCTTAAAATGTTCCTCGCGCTCCTGACAGGTTGGCTAGGAGCAGAGACGGGAAACATGTCAAATTGCAATCGACAAAATCATGGTCGTTTCGCAGCCTGATGACTGAGCACACACACAGGTTTGCTTTCTGGCTGCTGTGGCATTTCCCCATTCCCCCTCCACCGCCCGAAGTGGAAGAGGCTGTAGTAGAAAAATATATACTCATCCCCAGCCCCGGCAGCACAATCCCGGGACCGGGAAGACAGATGGAATGTTCACCTGTCTGTGGCAGGGAGATTTGTCTGGTTTCTCCTGTTCAGCCCTTCAGCACGCTGCATGTGTGCGCA